CACAGATTCACAAAACGAGACTGGTTTATCAGTGGTCGAGATTCAAATGGTATCTCTCAAATGCAAGGCAAACATGGCTTAGCATGTCACTATCTGGTGCAATGCAGTCCCTGTACATATAATATGCTGCATCTTTACTAAAAATGCTTGAAAAATTTTTAGTGAACAAGACAAGGATATACTCTATTGTAGTTATAGAAATATATTGCTTCTAGAAGTTTGCTTCTTTGTTTTTTAGTTACACATTTAATAGTATATCATTGTTATCTGAAATTATATGTTGATGCCTTTTGTTCAGAGGGTAAGTACTGTGCTGCTTTAACCAGTTGTTAGCAGACAGTTTGACACACAGCACATTCTGTTTGCAGCTGTATTCATATTTTTCCTCTTAAAATTGTACTTAAAATACTGTAGGCCAATTCATTCCCAATTCATTATTATTTTTAAAGTACAATATTTTTCTATGCAGATTAATACAATTATCTCTATATTATATAAGCAGAAAGATACGCAGAGGTTTACATTGCATATAAGCATTATTGCTCTTTGTAAATGAAAATTGCTCTTGTGATTAAAAAGTACTATAATTTCAAGTTTACAGTACAAATATTCTTTAAACTGAAATCACTCAGTATTTTGCTTACAATATTTTTTTAGGGATAATTTAAAATGTGTAGCTTTAAAGAAAAAAATTTTACACAATTATAGTGGGTGAGCACCTGTTTCCGTGTTGTTAGGGCACAGAAGTTAAGAGTTCAAATTGCCACATTAATCAAAGAATTGAGACTATGAAATCCATTTCATTTAATCTCTTATTGAATAAACAGCTCTGTAGTGATGCCTATTTGTACTTGTTTCTCTAATAAAAATGCAACTGTAGCTCTCAACACAAATTAGTTTTAATTATTTAAATTATATGAATTTGTCAAACATAAATAATCTAACACCTGTTTTTGCCTTTTCATTATGAAAAAATGTTGCATGAAAACTAATAGAGGATGATAGTGGGGAATTACAAAGGTAGGTCTATGTATTTATTACAATTCTATTAATTAAAAAAATGCAAGTGTGAGTGGATTACTATCTAGCAGGATAAAGAAGCAGTCTGTTGCATAGCTGTGCAAGGATACAACAGAAAACAGCAAAAGAGAAGAATTTCTCATACGCCAGGTCAATGCAACTGACTTGTCCAATGTTCATCTTTGAGAACTGGTGACCATGATTTACAGTATAGCAATTCAACTTCCAAATACAATGATTACATTACAAAGTAATGAGTGTTGTAGCTCATGAGACACTTACTCAAGGCACCAAAATCTGCCGTGACAGTCACCAATATATGTGAAACAAATCTCAGACAAAGGAAGAAGACAAATTTGGGTTTCCCTGCTTTGTATTTGTTTTGGTAATTCATTTCAGGAGATCTGCTTGTGCATACATGAAGAGTACCCCAAATGTCAGGAGGGCATAATGTATAAAAAACAATTGGTAGCTAATTCTGAAAATGGAGAAAATGTATGTTTTCTCCACAGAATAGTATAATCATATTTGTTGCTTCTGTTGCATGTCACATTTTGTTTTAAAAGCTTTACTATTTCAGATTCTGAATATCTTAACACACTGCCCTGAATTCATTTATCATTTGGTGGAGGAGGGAAATAAACATGTAATCCAGCTGTGGTTGGTGGTGATGGCTTTATATGGCAATTCAAGCAGTGATAATTTGTATGACTTTCTGTATATTAAAACATACCTTAATATTGATTCTGTTTGTGGTGTATTAACTGTTATCCTTTCTTGCTAAAGGAAATGTGCTAAGCAGATAGTTACTGTTCTAAATCAACAAGGCAATTTTAGAGTCACACAAAGCTGTTGAAACCTACCACTCGGTAGTTTGTCTGCCAGATTCATCATCTTTATTGTTGCTCCTGGAGGTGTCTCTCTCCCTTTGTGCAAAATATTTCCAGCAGGCAAGCTTATCATAAGAATTTACGACACTCCAAGGATATGATTATGTGGCCATCACAGTTAATATTCTGCCTTACATATCAATAACATAGCTCAGGGTTTCAGAGATGTCTATTTTTGAAAAATGCAAATTACAGAAAAAAAAATCTAAAGCATTTTATTATATTTTAGAGTTATTTTTCTCTTAAAATGCTTCTGTGGTTCTTTTGTATTAGCTGTACTCCCTTCTCAGTGCAGTTATACTCAAATTTTTACATATCAGTCTTTTTTCAGACCTTTTATTTGCAACTTTAGTTATTGCTAAATCACTCAATATACTGCAGGAAAGGTACTGTGGGACTACTGAATTTGGTTTTATGTCATTTAAATTCGACTAAAAATAGAACAAAATATTTCTAGTGTTGCAAAGAACTGCAGCATGCGACTACTCAAGAAAAATCTGACTTTTATGTATATTTTTTGTTACAATTTAATAAAAATATAATTTGAAACTACATACATTGCAACATCATTTAAAATTAAGAAAAAAGTAAGAAAGCACGATGTTTTCAAAACGCCCACTATAAAACGGGCAACATTTTCCTGTTGTAATAGTTCTGATGTTGAACAAAGGGCTAGTAAGTGTCTTTAAGCTTTCAGAACTATTCTCTTGTTAATCTAAGCACAGCTTCAGGAAAGAAAAGAAAAAAAGAAGTCTTTTGGAGAAAAAGAATTCCTTTTGTGTATTAGACTGGATCTCTAGTCTTCTACTAGACTGCTGTACAAACATTTTTATTTTACTATTTTACTAAATATTTTACAATCTAGTTAACTAGGTTGTAATCTAGGTGCATAAATTAATGTAAATAAATTGATAGTATTATCTTTGTTGATGTTGCATTCAATGCTGCAATGTATCTCAAGAAGCCTTCATGTTACTGAAGATACCATGATAACAACAACCTGGATAATCAGATTTCATATTAGTATCTTGGACACAATATTAAGTTTTTAAATGTATTTCCCTAAATAAGTGGAGTTCTCCATTACTTAATCCAAGCTGTTAGTGTGTGTGTGGGATTAGGATTAAACCAATATTTTTAAATTTCTTGTACTAATACAAAGTA